GTCAAATGTGATTCATCATATCATCATGCACAGAAATATGAGCTCTCTTTTTTTTAGGGAAATCTTTAAATTGTATTTACTATCAACTTAACAATTATAGAAGTATACATCTAAAGGCAAAATTTTGTTTACTAAACTAAAAGAGAAGAAAATTGATTGTTTTTTTTTTGTTCCTTTCTCACTTAAAACTTCAAAGAAATTTTTAAATCTAGAAATGCTAATTTTTTTTTATATATAGGTAATTAATTATATTTTCAACTATAATAACAGGTACTCCCCTTATTATTATTGATGATCCATCGCCACAATACACAGTGAGATCTAGGGCGCAATTTTGTGAAACGTCTAAGAAGAATAACATTGATGTGGAGACAAAAATGAAGAGGGATGGAGGAGAGATAAAAGTGAGAAAGTTAAAAAGGAAGTACAATGCGTCTTCTTCAAAGAGAATGAGGTTGAATCCTTACCAAAGAGAGAGGATTTGGATTTTTGCAAATGAGATAATGAGATGGAAATGGACAAAGAGCAATGAACAAGTTATCCCATTTTGTGATGAAATTGGCATCACTCCAAAATTCTTGAAGAATTGGATTAACAACACCAGAAGCAGAACTAGGCCCTTAGAAAAAAAATGGGCATGTGAGAAATCAGGATTAGTTGCTTAAAATAAGTCCTTCTGTGTTCTTAAGTTGTTTAACATTTTGGTTTCTTTTTTCTCATGTCTTTGATCCATAGAATTTGATGATATAAAGTATTAAGTTTTCAATTTTAATTTATATTTTTACTTTTCTTTTTTATTTATTCTTTTACAAAATTTTAGATCTTAATTTCCACATGACACGCATCACATGCTTCATATAATAGGAAAAGACATAAATTTCCTTTTTAACTTATTAGAACAAGTCAATTACACGGTTAAACTAGCATGGTGAGTATTTATAAGTCACATATTTTAATTACTTAAAGCGAAATTTATTTATTTATTAAAACTAACATGACCAAGAAAAAATATAAACATACGTGTCAAATAAAATTAAAATAATCAAAATTTTCCTTATGACCCACCCTTAACATTTCTTCTTCTCAAACTCTACCATCCTCCTCTTCATCACATCGACTCATTATCCTCTTCTTCTTCAAGCTTTAGTTTTCGTCACAGTTCTTTATATTTTATCACAATTGCAAAATATACTCTCTTTTTATTCAAAATTAGGTTAATTTTCTATAAGATTAATCTGAATAAATGAAAAATAGTAATAATTCAATTTACTTTTTTTAGCTTGAAATTTTGGAAACTATGATGTTTAGACATACAAAACCTAGACGATGATGAAGAGGGGGTGGGCCTATCAACGTCATGTCGAAATTCTTATTTGGGATCATCAGAGATGATAAATCACCCTTGAAAAACCTCCATTTGGCTGCCACCACAATTTCCAGTGAATCTTCAAGTGTTTTTGAAAAATAAAGACACATATTTAAATTCAGTGCAGACTTTGCTTTCCTCCATTTTGAAGCTTGACATTCTTTAAAGAAGAAGAATCCTAGCTAGCTGAAATTCATAACAAATTGAATTTTATTTCAATAATGTTGATGAGAAAATCAAGATTCTTTTATATAAGAAAAAGTATCGTGCTCTCTATTGGGTATTTTGTAGTTTCTTCTTGTTTTCAATTGTAACATTTGATTATCTTTGAACACAATAACCAATTCAATATAGTATAGCTTTTATGATTTGGAAAAAATTGTTTTGACTTTTGTTAAAGAAGTTTAATTTTTTTTTTTTTGTTAAAGGAGCTTTACAATTTTTTTATTTGTTGGTGATGACAATTATATGGTTTTGGTTGTGCTTGGTGATAGGTGGCAAAAACTAGAAAAGGAAATCAAATATGATAAAGAAGGAAACATAAATATTGATAATGGTGATGATAATATTTTATATGGGAAACAAAGAAAAAGTAAAATTGAAGGTGATATTGTGAAATTGTTCAAATCGTATCTCTTTTTAAATCTGAAAATTGATATTTGTCAAATTGAACTAGACCCTTTATATTTAGGGTACATTTAGATATAGAAAATTATAATTTTATATAGATATTTTAATTATTTTTCCAACACAACGATAGACATTTTTATGTTATCATTGATAATCCAACACCATAATATTCAGTGAAATCAGACATTCAACAAAGCTTAGTAAAATGTTTGAGAAGAACAACTTGTCATTGAGATAAAAGTTGTAATAGAGATGAAAGATAATAGGTAAGAATGAGGGAACCAAAAAGAAAATATTATTCGTCTTCTTCGGTGTGAATAGGAATGGATCCATTTGAAAGAGAAAAAAATCAAACTTTCTTCAAAAGAGATGATGAGATAGAAATGGACAAAAATATCAAAAAAAATATATAATATAATATTCGTGAATTTTGGCAACAATTAAACATAAAAATTATTTTTGTAAGAGATTGATTTGTCCTTTTAATTTAAAATCATCTAGTACATATATGAGAAGTATATTTTCACATAAATCAATATTTCATATATAATATATGTTAACAGTCTGTATTTGATAAATCAGAATTACCAATTTCAATAAATTTTACAAAAACACGAAGTAATCAAAATTTACTGAACCAGTAAGAAAGATGAACATAAATTTAATTAACAAAAAACTAAAATTTGTAAACGTACCAGAATTTGAAAATTAGAACAGACGAAAGATCAAGTCTACTGAATTCACATTGTCCCCTTAAGGAAATTATTCCCCTCTAGTATTCGAGGTTTGATTTGAAATATGTCCTCCCAGGATAAAATGACCTCAATCACCAGCGTTTAGATACCAAAAACTCTGGTGTCATCGAACCACTCAAAAGCAATAAAGTACACGAAGAAATTTTTGTGCAGATAAAGAAGGTGAAATCAGAAAAATTCATAAGAAAAAATTCTGAAGAATAAATAGAATTTATAGGCAAGAGGAACAGGTTCCAAAAGGTTGCAAACTTTTTTTAAGAATCCACACGACTATTAATGAAAGTTTGCAATCTTTCAAACGGTCGTGGTTGTTCTTGAAAGTTGCAAACTTTGAGAACATCCATTTCCAAAAGATGGGAAATTTAAATAAAATGGGGTCGCGCGGATCTAAGACGGGTCAAGTTAATCAACTAAAAATTTAAAACGTTTTGGTTAATCTTAACTAAATAATTGAAAATATTTTTGTTATCAACTAACTAATTGAAATTGTTTTGGCCATATTATTTCATTTAATTAATTAAATAAAATAAATAACTAAATAATTAAAACAAACTTTATCCAAAAATAATCTCCCGATTGATTATATATATATAATAATTTTCGGAAGTTAAGAAATAAAATACTAATTATTTTTTTGAGATAAAAAATAAAAAAATCAAATTCTCCTCAAGTAATGGTGGTTATCCACCTCAATGGTTTATATGAAGCAACTTGAAATGTATCGCACTTTCAATATTATCCGTGATTTTAATTGTATAAACAAATCTCATTTCAGATATCTTGAATACTGATTTTGAAAAAAAAAGTGCACATAAAGCTCGATGAGCACAAAATTGAACACAAAAATAAGCATATCACTTAACTTAAACATGTTTCAATTTCCATCGCTAAAAAAGACACTACAAAATAGATTTAGAATTTTTGCTAGTAAGAAATTTTATCCTATTTCAAGTTTACCACTAAAGCAACATTTTATGATGATGATGAAGAGTATTCTCCCACAATATATGTTGACAGGTCAACTATAAATATATATATATATATATATATATATATATATATATTATATTAATAATAATAGTA